TCACGCCAAGCGAGTGACTATTATGCCCAAAGACATCCAACTGGCCCGTCGTATCCGTGGCGAGAGAGCTTAAGACACCACTCATACAAACAAACGGCCCTTTTTAGGGCCAATACATACCTGTCCACTAAGAACATGATTATCATTATTGCCGCACTTTTTATATTGATTCATACCTTTCAGTTTTTAATTTATTACTTTTATAAGCATTTTCTAATAAACTGATTCAATAAACTTATTTTGTGATATTTGTTTGCTTTTCAATTCATTTCAAAGTTGTGTCCATTTAGTCATTCAATTGATTATTGATTTACGGCTATAGTTGACATGAGTTTCTGATTGTAGTTTACTATTGAAGTGTATTTAGAGGACATCCGTTAAACCATTCAAACCATAACTCGCAGTAAATCCGTTAACAAAGCATATGAGGAACAGGTGCTGAAGATATGCCTTCAATACAATCACTTGACTATACTTCACCTCTACATATATCCTAAACTTAATTGCATACAAAATTAGCTGTAGTCTGAAGGTGAACTAAATTGTGAGTCTTATGCACACAATACATGACAAAATGGTCTCTAAATTGGTTTTAATTGTCAATATATTTAATCATAATTTGTGCCATAAGTCTATCACTAAATGTAGTAATGGTATCATTAATATGCTCTCCTTATAAGTGAATAAAGTTTGTCATAATATGTTTAAAAGTGTTTATTTGTGTCTTAATTGTATTGCAATTAATTGTAATTTAGATTCACTTTGAATGGTATGACTAGAAGTGATGGTAAAGTCCATAGGATAGGGTGGGATCCAAATCACGAACACATTTTTGTCGCATATTTGTGGCACTCATTGCCTCCAAAACACTCAAATGTGATTCGCTGTGAGCTGTGCGCCAATGAAAGCGCATGAGTCCACGTCGAGTACGTGTGGGTCTGGTATATAAGGCTCGTGAAATCGCAGCACTCTATCAATCGTTTTGTGTTTTGTCGTCAATTTGATCGCACATTCAAACCATACGAAGACATGTCTGGACGAGGAAAAGGAGGCAAAGGTCTGGGAAAAGGAGGCGCCAAACGTCACCGAAAGGTGCTGCGCGATAACATCCAGGGTATCACCAAACCCGCCATCAGACGTCTGGCCCGCAGAGGAGGTGTGAAACGTATCTCCGGTCTGATCTACGAAGAGACCAGAGGTGTGCTGAAGGTATTCCTCGAGAACGTGATCCGAGACGCCGTCACTTACACCGAGCACGCAAAGAGGAAGACTGTCACCGCCATGGATGTGGTCTACGCTCTCAAACGCCAGGGACGCACTCTCTACGGCTTCGGCGGTTAAACACCTCTCCATCGCACCCAACAAACGGCCCTTTTTAGGGCCAACCACTTCACTGACACTCAAAGGAGTTTTGTTTTATTAATTGTCTTATTATGATGTCTTCACATCTCTTATGTCTTATTCTTTCAATGCTTTAATCACTCTTTTAAACGCCAATTGATTTGAAATAAAATGATTTTTTATTCAATAATATTTTGTCTATAAATTGCTTTTCATTTAAAATATGCTTTTTATATATAATAATAAAAATATAATTAAATTAAAATGATTTATGAATCGCTTAACAATTGCTATAACTTATAGATCACATCCTTGTCGTCGGTGTCGTCGTCCGACTCGAAGCCTAAGTTGACGGCAACCGTTGGACTCAACTGTTTGTCTCTCTGACTGTCAGTGTCTGGTGTGGAAGCGGTGGTGCAGTGGAACCGACCTCTGGTGACGCCCTCCGGCTGTGCGTCCCTTTTGGCCTCTTTGTTGGTCTGAGAGGATCCCTGACTCGACGCAGAGTTACTTCTGTCGCCATTCTCTCGACTCTCATCGATGGTGAAGATCTCATAGACGGTGGGCGTGCGAGTGGTGCTCATGAGGGAGGGCTCGCACTGGTCCGGTCTGGTCTGGTCCGACAGTTTGCCCAAATAGGTGTTAGTGGGCGACGCATACTGTGGCAGATAGTCCTTGTTGTCAATCCATGGCGGGAACTCCTCCTGACGTATCACTTGTGCTGAGGACAGGTCCGGATTGGAGGGCTCTCTCCTCCAGGGAAGTGTCGACTCTGTGGCCGTCGTCGCAGTGGTTGTCGTGGTCTTCGACGCATCACTACTTTGTTTGGCCGACGAGTCCAACGATGCCTTTCTGGCGATGAATTCAATGCCTCCGTCTTCGGAGTCAGTGTGAGGACAGTCAGCGGATCTGAACACCGAATCGGGTTTCACTGCAAAATACATACACTTTTAGTTCATCTCAAGTGATCTTCAAATCATTCATCAATTCATACAATAATTGTCTGATTTATTGAACTGAAAGTCATTATTGACTGAAAGGAAACCGTTTGGCGGAGACGTCGGAGTCATTGAATTGCTGTCACTTTTGTTCAATTTCTTCAGTTTTCGTTTGTGGTGTTTGTGCTGCTGTTGACTAACCAGATGTCGGATCTGCATCCGGATCTGATGCTGGAATGGCGGGTGAGGGGCCGGCGCTTCCAACACATCACTACGACTATACCGCCGCACCTATTGATGGATTCAATACAAATGAGTGCTAATGTCTTAACAGCGGATCCAATGCTACCTTTTTGATGGGCTTAAACATGGCGTCATTGAGGATGTGGTGTATCTCTGCGTCGGCCAAGTCTTTATTACTGGGATTATAGGCGAGGTTTCCGATGTCGAAGTTGAAGCCATTGTTGTGATCCACGGGTATGACAGTTGAGGGCGAAGTGTCAGCCGACACGTCTGTATCGGCGGCCAAATTGGCTAAATTGGTCTGAGTGTAGGTCCGGAACAGAGCCGACAAACCTTTATTGGGACTCAAGAAGTTGTTATTACTGTTGCTGTTGGGGTTCAGATACAGGTTCTGTTTGTTCACTATATTGAGCGCCTCCTGAAGATTGAGTTTAGAACAGGTCTCGAAGATCTTTCGCGAAGAGTTTCCCATTTCATTGCTGTCTCTCAGGAGCCAAACGCGCAGATAATTGTTATTAAAGTGACGAAACCTGAGCACAAGAATCAGTCAATTGTGGTCACAAACTGTGTGCAACTCACTTGTCCCTGAGCTTATAGTTGCCAATCATCATCCCTGATATGTCTTCGAGTCCAGCCATCACGTGATCCATTAACTGATTGCAAACATACAACCATTCAATCAATTCATTATTTATATTTATTTAATTTGATTGCAAATCTCTTATTTTTATATAAAACGTGTTTATTATAGCAAATGACAGAATTTGTGAAAATAACACTTTATTATGGATTCTATAGATTCTGTTATAATAGAGAATATAACAAAAGCTAATGACAGGAATAAAAGTTAACAAAACTTAAGGCTTCAGTCAAATATCCTGTACTGCATAGTACTATACAGTATATGCAATATTACGGTATATGAGATCAACTTTTATGGTTTCAAAGAATCGATATATTGACTCTATTTATGATTTATTATGTCTGATCTTAAAATAACCTGTAACCTAATTACAAGCACTGAATCCTTATAAATGAATAAATTATTCATCATTTATGACATACCCGGGTGTGAATCCTCTCATTCATGGTGAGTTCCCCTTTGTTAGCGCGCGGGACGTTCAACAGTTTGACGAGACTTCCGACAGTCATTCCTGTCATTCAAATGCCAGGAATATACAGAATATACAGAATATGTGCGGAATATACAGTCATTTAAGACCTATTAATGCAAACCTTGCAGAAAGACTGTAAAGTAGACCACGGCTATAATGGTGGTGACCATCATCTCTCGCGCGTGAATTATCTGTCCGTTGATGACCAGTATGAGGGCAAAGGCCACGGCACCTCTCAGGCCTCCATAAGCCATAATAAACTGTTCCACTCTATTGAGTCTATGAAGACGAAACCTATTGGCCAGTGATGTCAACATAATCACCCCTATGGACCCAATGGTCAATATTTAGTGAACAAATGAAACAATTGAGTAATTATTGGTCAGTTTCAATGCAAACCTATGGCTCTATAGACGAGACAGAAGACAATAGTGAGGACAACGAACGGTGTGTTCCACTTGTGGTTGTCATTCACAGTACAGACGCCCAGAAACACGAAGATTATAGCCTCCGAAGAATTGGCTAACATTTTCATTGCATATTTCAGAGTTGTGTGAGATTTCTGTGTTATATTCTCCTCCACATAGTTCTTCATAGTTATGCCACAAAAGGTTAGGCTATTATGCATTCAAATGTTAATTGAAATAAATGAGTCTATATTTTGTATACATTTCATTCAATTCTTTGAAATTTAAATTTCCTTTTTTGTTGTTGTCTTTGAATTCATGTTATTCCTAACTCTACTGTTATTTGAAATTTAATATTTTTTAGTGTCTTTAATATCATGAATAGAATGACATTTTATGGGCTTTTTTTCTATGCAAGTATAAATATGATAAAGCAGTCTATGATAAAATGTTCACTGAATATAGCACTAAATTATTGATTTACTAGTATTAAAGAATTTGTAGACTCTTTTCCATCGATTTAATTTGTTATACATTTATCGCATTCATAACTCAAACACAAGAGTATTTGGAGTATATTAACACAAGTCAATTAATCCGAGTATAAAATAAATGTTTACTTTCACTTCCATTTGCCGCTTAACTTGTGATTCGCTAAACATTTTTGTAAACTTTTTTCTCTCTAATTCTCTCTAAATGTCAACAAAATACAGAATAATTAGATTTTCAGTTGAATTAAAGACAGTCTAAATCTTCTCATCTAATTTGTGTTACAGTACATGCCATACAATGCAGTACATTAACTGTACTGTAGTCTAGTTTTATACCCAAACACTATCATATACCCTGTAATTGCTTCCAATATTGTAATATTATGTTACAATCTAAGACTTATTAGATTATTAATCTTCTCGTTTGAAACTATTTTTAAATAATAATCAAATACTTTAATTGTAAATTAATGTCAAACAGAAACTAATAACACACTAATATTTATGCATTATTAATATTTAATAACTTATAAGAAATAAATTAGGATTAATAATAAATACTGTATATCCGAAATACATATAAAAAGGGAAATAAAATATAAATGAGAATAACACTTTTAGACATAAATCATAATAAACTTGAAATTACAGTATATGTAACCTCAACACATATATGTGGCTTAAATTTGCATAAAATAACTTTCAATAGGAAATAAGTTAACTCATAAAAACAAGAATAATAATAATACTTAATGTGATCGTAAAGTAAAATGTTTGTTTGCATTTTGATGATTTTTTGTTTCTTAATAATTTAGTCTTTTAATAAATATTCTATAAGTTTGTCGAAACGGTTATTCAACATTCAGTAAATGTTTACAAATAAAGGTAAACATTTCATTGATTTTTTGCAAATAATACCTCTATTTTAACAAAACCTTAATAGCATAGAGCACAAGAATTATTGTGCAATAATTATATAAAACTACTATTGTATTGATTTTCTCGAAACTAGTGTATACTTGAGACGAATAATGTAGAAATATATGCCGGTATATAATTTGTTGGGCACATCCAAGTTTGCAATAATATTAGTAATACAAAAACAACAACACTTTTACTAAATTATTCATTTATCATTAGTTTCAGTATTGCCTAAATTATTAAATTGTAATATACCTAAGAATTCCTGATAAATGAAACATCTCAGCCGATAGATATGATAAGTAAGCCATGACAAACACGAATATGGGCTCAATTATCTTGACGTGATGGGTGAACCGGGACACAAAGGCCGCCAAAAAGCCCCAAATGACACCCATCGCTGTGCCGCCCAATGATATGACGAAAAATGATGCAAAACCAGCGAAATAGTCAATCGGCAAAATACTTTCGATGCCGTCTTCGTATGCCATTTCCGCGTATCCCTCAAACATGTGATACAAAACCTGTATATAAATTATGCGTTAATTCATATCATTGATCTCAATATTACTTGAATGAGACATCACTTACAACAGTGACCGCATCGTTGAGCAAAGACTCTCCAAATACTGTATATATATATATCGGAAATTTTATATATTATTTTGTTATTTGTTTTTACAATGAATAAGTACCAAGAATATATAAGACTTCATTGACGTGGATCTCCTCGAAAATAGCCAGTACTGCCACCGGATCCACAGCAGACACCGTTGAACTAAAATATTAATATATTATCTAATTATCTGATAAGTCAAACATACATGTGATTCTCAGTTAACTTAAATTACAATTATTGAATGCTATCATTATCTGTAATCTAATTCTATAATAATAAGCTATATTTTACACCAGATTTAATAATTACAATAATTAATACAATCCTTGGGCTCTAATATGATGAGCAAATGAATGGTAGCTCAGCTGCACCTAAAGCTATGTTCAATGGAATTGGAGTTTCATTTCTGTATTCTTATTGTTTTTGCCAAACACTTCATAATAAAATTAGAGCTCAGAATAACCCACATTTATATTTTACTCTCAATTTAATAATATACGGTACACTGTATTATTCCTATTAATTTGATGATTAAAACATTATAAATAAAATTGTACAATTATTGTTTTGTTTATTAATGTTAAAAATTTAAAATATTTTCAAATTGCGAAATGACTAGAAATATAAATAGTAGTAATTTTACAAAAAAATATAATATAAATATAAAATAATAAAATAAATGTGTTATTAAAGAATGAGTTTTCTGTTTATTGTAGCAAAATATGTTCAATTCAATAGACAATTGAGAGAATCATTTGTTTTAAATGTTATAAAATTAGTTTTGTTAGAATTCCTTCATTTATATTTGTTGTCAAACAAAATAATGTAATTTACACTCAAATATATTTTTCTTACACGTTAAATCAAAACCAAAAATAAATCAACAATTTATATTTTATAAGTTAATATACAGAATATTGTATAAACTTCCAGAATAATTAAACTATTCTGTATAAACAAACTTTATAACACTAATTTATTCAAAATACACCTATGCTAAAATACACTAACCTATTCAATAAAATATAATGGTTGATTTAGAATCTAAGTCGATAATTTTAATTTTAAATAACTCAATTAAATGTTGTAAAAACACATACAGTGTTTACAAAGTATTCTATACATACAATCAATATTGTTTATTCTCATACAATATTAATGATCTAAATTTGATAAAACTTTGAACATTTAATCTTTAGCTTCTAAATTTTTAATAGTTATAATTAGGGTTGAAAACAGTATAAATTATATAAATTATATTTTGAAAAATAACATTATCTACAGTAGCTACATATTTAAAATATTTATATAAATAACATGAATAGTTCACAAATTAGTTGAAGTTAGCATTATAATGTTTAAATAATTAAATTTTACAGTTATAATTAATTAAATCTACTTAAAATTAAATAAATTATATGCATTTACTATATTCTAAATTCTGTATATTTTCTATTATAAAATATATATAATTTATTTTGGGAAAAATATAAGTTATTGTAATTTAACAACCCTAGTTATAATAAATATTATAATGTTAAAAATTAAACCTAGGTTAAAACTCAATCCATATTATATAAATAATATTACGCGTATAATGTATTGATAAATATATTTGAACATTTAGATATTACAGAATAACTTAATAGGCTTTTAAGATTATACTGTATATAAACTATTAATGAATAATTAATGAATTTGTGAAAACAAACAATAGATTACCTGAACAGAAGAGTGTCGAGAAGAGGTAACGGTTCCCCGAAAATCCCTAATTTGGCACAATAATACAGCGAGAGTCCTGGTCATAGTAAATAATTGCTATAATAGACGTTAAATGAACATCACTTTTATGTATACCGATCGCTAAGGCATTCCAGACGGTGCCGATGACGGCGTATAATAAAATGGAAATTAAATTATCAAAAAACAATCGGTTGGGCATATGATAGCCGGCGTCCATCACTATTGGGGGCAACATATACAGGAAGAATAGGGTTGGAGTCAAAGGTTGCAGTTTGTCGTCTGGAATGCCGGCAAAAAACATTATTAAACCGATTATTACTCCTAAAATCATTAAAACCACGGATTCCGGACATATCGACGATAGTTTTGGCGTCACATGAAATCCTACGAATGGTATCCTGAGTTAGTTTTATTATATATTTTTTGTGTAAATTTTTAGTTTATATTTAGTTTAGAATTAGGTTTCATTTTTGTCACTAACTAATTAACTTAATGTCTCGCAAGTAATTTAATTATATTATATTAATCTATAAGTTTTTGTATAATGATTGCAACATATTTCCAAATGTTTACAAATACAGTACTATAATATTATATTAAATTTAATTTTAACTTGAATTTAAAATTAAATGTCAATTTTGCTTATTGTATGGAATTCACTGGAAATTCCTAATAATATAAGCTGTGAATTGATAAATGGATTGAAACTAATAAATTTGGGGACAATTTTTAGACAGCAATCCGTTTACTCAAAAATCTATACAAATATAAGAGATGACAGTGTTTTGTGTAATTGTTTGCGACTGACAAATATTTTTGTTAAATATAATTCACAGAATTCGTATAATTCAACAGTTTTTTTATTGAATTTCTAACAAAATAAAGAAATAAATAAATGTTTAAATTGTCTCATTTGAATGTATAGTTGAGTGAAACAGTATTTTGCATCAATTGCTGGAATAACGTCAAACAACAAATGAACACAAGATTCAACTCAAGTGGTTACAGATCTTATCAAAATCAAAGGCAAATCACACAGATTTGTATTCTTTAGAGATTTTATCAAAATTATTTTTTGGGTGGAGTTTCAGTTAGAGATAGAGATATAGAAATGTCATTTTCGGACATTTCTGTCATATAGTTACAGATAATACAAACATATAAACCTATGAATATTAAAGAGAAATAACAAAAATATATACAGTACTGTATATTATCTGACATTTAATATGTACTTTAAAAAAGTAATGGAATAGAGAAGTGAAGTAAACGACAGAATAGTTAGGAAATGCATTACAGTATGCGGTACTGTATAAGACTTATACTATAAGTTATTTGCTAAACATTTAATGATCACTTGTTTCTATTTACACAAATTAAACAAAATAAAATATAATATAATATAATTGCTAATTATATTATAAATCAATATATAAAACTGCAGTTGCGTCCAGATTCACTAATATAACCATGGTGGAGGCTTTGAGTATATATTTTGAACCATTATTTTAAAAAGTGAGCATAACTTATGTTTTCAAATACTGTGTTATAAATTATAATTATAATACAAATCTACCGGTTCAAAGAGGCCCTCGCTTTTCATGGTGGCCCCCAAATGGAGGGAATTGTAGCCTAACCCCCTGGTCAGCCAACTCAGGTACAAGCACTTACATTTTGTGAATCGATTAACTAATTTATGCAACTTTTTTGTTGCTTATCAAACGTTATGCTCATAATTATGAACAGTTTTTGTCATAACTTGCGAGTGCTCTCCAGTTAAGAGCCTAAAGGCATTCACTTGAAAACATGTCTTTTGCTTCAAACGCAAAATTATTCGGCCGTTCACTCAATCATACGTTCAAAAACTTTTTTAATATCATATTCACTAAGAATTCAAGTAAACGAGTGTAATGTATAGCAAATGTATTTGAAAATAAGTGTCAGCTATGGTTTCAGTCATCATAAATGTCTAAAACAGTAAACATTTTGCAAAAATATTTCCACTTTCACCTTTAAAATCAAAGCCTTATTTAAAATTAATGCGATATTTGTTATTTATAGTCAAAAATGGAAGTAAAATGTTAAACATACAGTACATGCATGTCCAAATATTATATAACATTCAACAGTAAAATCTCAAATTATATTTGTTATTTATATATTTATATACAAGATTTTAAAATTTAATTTGTTAGTACAGGTAAATAATTTACTATAAAAAACAAATGGAATATTAAACAAGTTACCATTCCATTTTAAATGGATTTTAATTTTTAATCAAGTTAATCTACTATTAATCAATAAATTTTTAATGGTAAACTAAATAAAATTAAATAAATCAATGATTTGATTGTATTAATAAAATAAATAAATTCTAATATTCTAACTAATTATAATATTAGTGAATATAAATATGAATTGTTTGCAAATAAAAAATAAAAACAGCTATCTAAATTTATTTCACGTGATTTACAAATAATATGTGATTTGATTTTAATTTGACTAAAAGTGCCATCGATTTACTTAAATTTAACATTTTATTCAATTTATATCACGTTTTGATGAAAAACATCTATTTTTGATCCAAATTCATGACAACAAATGTTATTTTCAAAATTAGCTTTTTCATCAAAAATATAATAAAACAAATTATAAATTAAATATTTCCTTTAATTTGTGATAAAGGTTTCATTTTACAAATATCATGTATCTAGAATTTAATTGAAATTTAATTATTTCGAGAATTTAAGTGAATTTTAATCATTAAAATCAATATTTCAATAAAATTACTCAAATATTTATAGATATGATAACTATAAATTATACCAATTCAATTATCAAACAATTTGATTGCTGTTTAACTCATATTTCTGTGGTTTTTGATAAGAGTTTAAAAATAAAATTTACTTTAAATATCACAAATGAGATAATTGTGTAAATGTTGTCACTTGAATCAAATAAACCGACATCTAATCACTTCTAAATAAATGCGATTTGTATGTCATAATAACATGTAGTCCTATACTGGGAATCGGGATTTATTTGACTAGTATTTAGTTTATTGGTGTAGAAAAACATTTACTCAAATAATCAGTTAATATCACAAAAATTTTGCACAATTTTCCTCTTTGAAAACTAAATAACATTATCCACGAGGGTTTCAATATGTTCGCAATCATATTAAGGCTAAATGTGAATACAGTATCACTTATTATTTGAAACTCTGTACTTTATTTCAATAAATATTTTCTCAAAAAATAATTGTTTTCTGATTGTATGCTGAATCACTACAAACACTACAATTCATAGTTTTTGTATTCAATTTCCTTATTTGTCAATAAAATAATAGTTTGAAATTAAATTAAATTTTGAAAAAGTCTATTTTGTTGAACTTTGCATTTTTGAAAAATTGTTGCAAACAAATGATAAACTGATAGATTATACAACAATATAGTCGTTGATGGGATGTAAAGAGATTTCCTTTTTGAACGGAAATCCAATGGCTTCTAAAAACTTGAGTTTTGTCATCAAGTGGATGCTTTTCTTAGCGTAAAATCACTATTTTAAGAGTACAGATGTATATTTACTGTTATTTCAAATAATATTTATTTAACTATTCAAAGTTTAAATATTAAGTCTATATCCAGTTAAATATCACTCCAAAACCAGCAAAATAAAGGTTACAATTAAGAATTTATTTAATAAGTTTCATACATTTTAATATTTAACTGGTTAGGTATTAGTTGATTGTCTAAAAGTTATTAATAGCGTTAACTTATTATAATTTAATAGATGTCTTGCATTGAATACATATTCATATTGAATATCGATTCTGAATAGAGACCATACCGTGGCGTACAGTATATTAAAAGTCTAACAAAGCTAATCAATGCATTAAACAACTATAAATAAAATGTCTTTCATTACTCAAAACGTCAAATCTAATAAAATAAATGAATTTCAATCATTTTTGAAATGATAGCTAAGACATAGCAAAGATTTGTGTAATGCAAAGGTATGAGTTTTGAATATTAATACAATAATAAAAATTGTCTTCATGTATGTAAAAAATGTTTATTAATTTATACAAATTCTCCGTAAAACTGGTTTCGCGAATGTGCGAAAAAACTCAATCGATTTGTTTTAATAACCATTTAATGATTTGTTTGTTATATAAAATATTTTCAGTGCATATGAAATACAAGTCATACGCGTTTCCGAGCTTTCAATAAATGTCAACTAATATTAGTCTAAACACCTCCTTATTTGTGTAATAGTATGAGAGAATAGGATACCTTTCCATATGCTGCCCATACAGTGTCATACCGTTTAAATCTATACAATAGTAATCAAACCTATTATCTAATATTCAATTCTTTAAACAATGAAGTAGTTTTTAATAATGTAATCGTATATAATAAGTAAAAATTCGTAAATTCTTGATATAATATATTTTTAATATTATTTTGCGTGACGTTTGCCACAATATACTGTATAAAGAAAGCAAACCTTCAAATGTCGGGGAGTTATGGTTACATTCAAATATCAAAGACAAACAACAATCCTATTATTGAATATTTTTTCATTTGTATACTATATTTCATATTTCAATACACTATTATTGTATATATCATTATTTTGATATACATTTCACTTTTCTATCTCTTTGTACCATTGAATCTCAAAATACAATTTATTATTAACTAGTAAATTATAAATTGTTTTCCACTCAATAACATTAAACAAAATTCTAGATACCTTTTCCCTACAAATTAGTTCAACAAATATTATATATAAGTTTTTAATAATTCAATTAAATTCTGTATTGGAAATAACAATTTAATTATATGTTTTACGGAATAAATTACCAATTTATCGTAAAGTAAATTAATTAAACGTACAAATTATTGTCAATAATAATTTCCTTCACTTGTAATCAAAATTAAAGCAAACTGAATACAAGGATTTCATTACATATGAAACTCTTTACTATTATACCCTATAGTGATGTTCAGTGAAAATAATTCCTCATTTCATATTAAAAAATGTTTTGCTTTTTTAGTATTTATGTCAGAAATAATATATAGACTTATCATGAAATTCAAGACTGGAATTCCATTATTGCTTAAAGTNCTATAGTGATGTTCAGTGAAAATAATTCCTCATTTCATATTAAAAAATGTTTTGCTTTTTTAGTATTTATGTCAGAAATAATATATAGACTTATCATGAAATTCAAGACTGGAATTCCATTATTGCTTAAAGTTATTGAAACACAAATGAACTCAAAAATAACTATTAAATTAATTTTTTAATCTAATATTAAATCTTGTTTTTAAGATTCAAAACGATAGGAAAGAAAAGAGTGTTCATTGAATTGCATCTGA